TGACAAATATTTAATTCCAAATATATAATTCCAAATATCTATTCAGTATATAAAATGACAAATATCAATTGAGTATATAAAATGACAAATATCAATTGATTATATAAAATGACAAATATCAATTGAGTACATAAAATGACAAATATCAATTGAGTATATAAAATGACAAATATATAATTTATTAGAAGTTTGCTAAGTGTTAACAGGTATGGAGGAATATATATATATTACCTCTTTCACTAACATCTCTTTCTTTTCTTGGTTGGATTCCGAATTACTTGTCTCTTAAGAACGCGGACGGAGGGATTGATCCAAATTCCCTCATCATGATCTTTTCTGATATATGATTCATCCGCTGTAGTATCATCATCTCGATCGTTTCTAATATACGACTCATTCTCAACATCAACATCAACTTGATCCACACTTTTATCATCAATCACTTTGTTAGATAAAAGCATTATAGACCATTTCGTACTCTTCGGGTCTGTGACATAGAACACTTGTTTAGCTTGAGAGGCTAGAATAAAAGGCTCATCTTTGTACCCCACCCTACTAAGATCCACTTGCAAAAACCCTGACTTATCCATTCGTATGCCACTAGTATGTACCCACTTGCAACCAAAGATAGGAATCTGAAACTTCTCATAATCAAACACCCAGATGTGATTGATAACCCCGAAATATGACAAATTTTCATATTTGGGGTTTAAGTCCTTCATACCAGAAATGTGCATTGCTTCACATACCACCGTGACACCACTATTTTGCATGGTACTTTTCTCATCTTGTTCTTTGGTATAAAATGTGTATCCATTAATTTTGTATCCTCTATAAGAGAACACAATCGAACTTGGATCATATGCCAAACATCTCAACCTGTCTGATATTGAAGCGGGATCTAAATGAAACTTTGAATATATATGATCCTTAAACCACTGTATAAAACTTTGATTGTGCTCTCGTACTATCCAATTTTCATTTCTACTTTGATTCTCACCTCAGAGTATAGCCTTGTGCATTTCAACAAACGGCTCAACCTCAGTGTCATTGTGCAGAACATACAAATGCACTTGATCCCGTTCATCCCTTGATACTGTCACAATTTCATTTCCAATTAATTTGTTACCTTCTTTTTTTTCGAAGAAATGAGATTTGGGGAGTCCAATGGATTGCACATTGGACAAAAAATCAGTACAAAACTCAACCGCTTCTTCAACAACGTATCGCTCAACGATACAACCCTCTGGACGACTTCGGTTTTTCACGTACCCTTTTAATATTTTCATATAACGTTCAACAGGGTACATCCATCTCATATAAGCTGGTCCACACAATTGTGTCTCTTTCACAAGATGAACAACAAGATGTACCATAATGTCAAAAAATGATGGAGGAAAATACATTTCAAGGTCACACAGAGTAATAACGATTTCTTTTTGTAATACTGGTAAGATCTCAGGATCGATCACCTTACTACAAATTGACCTGAAAAAAAAACACAATCTAGTTATAGCGCTTCTTACTTTTTCTGGCAAAATAGAACGTATACCTATTGGTAGAAAATGTTCCATTATGACATGGCAATCATGTGTCTTCAGACTCTTTAACTTGAGGTCTTTCATGGACACGAGTCTTCTAAAGTCTGAGGAGTAACCTTCTGGAACTTTAACTTCACTCAGAAACTTACACAATATTTTCTTTTCCTTTCTAGATAGAGTATAAGAAGCAGGTGGTAGATATGTTCGTCTTCCTTTCTTCACGGGTCCTAATTCAGTTCTTATTCCCATATCTACCATGTCCTCTCTTGCTTTAAGGCCATCCTTAGACTTTCCTTTTATATTGAGTAACGTACCAATAACACTTTCAAATACATTTTTTTCAATATGCATAACATCAAGAAAATGTCTTACGTACAAAGATTTCCAATATGGCAATTCAAAAAAAATTGACCTCTTCTACCACCCACCTGTGACAACTTTATGTGCAAAAGGCTTGCAAAACTGAATAATCACATCTTTCACCTTCTCACAAATTTGATCACCTGTCAATCCAGGTGGAGCTCTACGTTGTTCGGTATTTCCATTGAACGCTTTTCTCCATCCACGATATTGATGTTTTGAATTTAAGAATCTACGATGACCGAGAAAGACATTCTTTTGACAAAGTTTTAATCGTGTCGTATCGGTTCCATCTTCACAGACAGGACACACTTTTTCACCTTTAATGCTATACCCGGATAGATTTCCATATGCTGGAAAATCGTTAATTGTGCCAAACAACATCGCCCTCAAATTGAAACTTTCTTTCCTATATCCATCATAAACCTCCACACCGTTCTCCCACAAAATCTTCAAATCTTCGATTAAAGGTTTCAAGTATACATCTATGTCATTCCCTGGTTGTTTAGGCCCAGAAATTAACATAGATAACATCATGTACTTGCGCTTCATACATAGCCATGGAGGTAGGTTATAAATCATAAGAATCACAGGCCATGTGGAATGTGAGATACTTTGAAGACCATGCGGGTTCATTCCATCCGTAGATAATGCCAAGCGAAGGTTTCTTGTTTCTCCTCTAAAATCAAGATAATCATTATCAATTTTCTTCCACTGTGGTGCATCTGCCGGATGTCGAAACTTTCCATCGATAATTCTTTCATCTGCATGCCAAGTCAAGTGTCTAGCATCGGTTTCACTACGAAACATGCGTCTAAATCTCGGAATAATAGGAAAATACCATAAGACTTTCGCTGGAGATAATTTTTTCTTATATCGAGATAAACCGCACTTTGGGCACTCATTCAACGATGCATATTCGTTTCGAAACAAAATACAATCATTTAGACATGCATGTATCTTATCATAGCTCATTCCAATAGAGCACAACATTTTTTTGGCCTCGTAGGTTCGATTAGGAAGAACATTATCCTCAGGAAGCATATCTCTCAAAAGGGCTAATAACTGTGTGAAACTTTTATCTGACCATCCATTGCGCGCCTTTAAGTTGTACAATTTTAATACCGCAGACAATCTTGTGAATTTGGGGCAATCTTTATACAACGGTTTCTCCGCATCGCTTACCAACCTCTCAAACATTTTGGGACAATCTTGAAGATCTTCTTCAAGTGCTTCTGCAATCTCTTCCACCCGATCACAATCATATGTATCCGTGGCATTGTCGTACGAAACATAGGTCGCATTACTTTTCACCCCCGGTTCAACATTCTCGATGTTTTTCTCACCATGAAATATCCAACACGTATAACTTCGATCAATTCCGTGCATTAGTAAATGCGATTTCAATCCATTTGCGTCAACCCGACCCACATAACAACAACCCAAGCAAGGACATTTCATTCTATTCGGGTCTTCAGCGTGTTCAACAGCAAACTTAACGAACTCTAATACCCCATCCTCGTACTCTTTTGACAATCGATCGGCACACATCCATTTTTTATCCATGGTTTTAACTATTATCTAAGTTAAAGACTCTGTGTTGTCAACAAAAATCAAACATGTGATTAGAACAATTCTAGAAATGAGGATTGTTGTGGTCCTATAACATATTCAATCAATGATCGTCAACGTTACTATTTTAGAGATATTAGCTTAGTTGTGAACTCATTCTAAGATTCATGATTTGTGTTATTTTTTACTATTACTAAGTTGAATATTAGATGGGGGATTTACATGATGTGATTCCTTTGTTCCTTGCAGGCATGTCTACATGAGCTAAGCATACATTATGAGAAACAGAAAAGATACAATGTAGGGAAATTAAGTGTCATGTTGAATGGTAACTCCAACATCTCCTAGTTATGCTTTGTTATGACTCGGTTTGTCTCTGCTATGTACAAACTCAATCCTCCACTATCTTATTCTTCTCCCATCATTGAGAAATCTAAGATTATTAAACCCATTACAAGTATTTTGACTAGTCCATAATATATCTTAGATTTAAAAAAAAATCAAAATAAAAGTTTCAAAAGAGAGAATAGAAGCCATAATACCTAAGGTTCCACGGCTTTTACTCGCGGAGATTGTTAATTTTCTATTTCGCCGTAAGAAGAGAAACAATAAGAAGATGAAGATTCCAGCAAGAGCAGAAGAAGCAATCAGTGCTAGTAGAATTCTCTTATTCAAATTCTGGTGATGCACTATTCTAACATCTTGATTTCCTGTATCATTCATTGTAAAAACAATACATCAAAGATTAACCGGTGGAAGTGCAGGAAATTCATTATCGTCAATTTAAAACTAACAAGAGCAAAACTATTAATCGTGGACACATTGCTTAAGCTAAAATAACCATCTAGTAAAATTAAATCTTAGAGTATACGTCAGTTGATGACATGAACTCACCTGATATGAGTAATGGGTGTGAACATCAATTGATGACATGAAACAAGATTGTGTAGGATGAGTCTGGCAATTCAGAATTATATACGTCAGCATTGCAACACGGATATGGGAAGAATATAGAAGTAAAAATAATAAATTTGTGTATGATATAAATGAAACCGAGGAGTGCTGCTAAGTAAAACACACATTTTCATTCTCTTTTAGTATTACATGAAATATTGAGTGGATCCCACTAAATAACATGGAACTACTCCTTATCAATGAGGCCTACATGCAATATTATCAAATAATTGGGTGTTGAAAAGAATCTATTGCTAATATTAACTAGAGTAACAAAACAAAACTTCAACTCTACATGACATAATTTCTTATATCTGTTCTTTGGAAGTTGGAAAATAGAAAGAAATAATTAATAAAAACACCAATTTGTACCCTCCTAGCGCAAATGCCACAGAAGTTCAGGTTGCTTCATTTAAGCAAACAATTTTAAATCCACCTAATGGGTTACTATTGTTTCTGTTTGTGGAGTGTTCTTTTTTCAAAGTGGACTCAAAGTGTGTGAAAGGGTGTGATATAGCTTTAGCTTCTTACTATGTCATGCCTTTAGTTGATCTCCCAACTATAACAAATTTCATGCAATCAAAGATTGTTACCAACTCTTCTAATGTTTTAAATAGTTACAATAAAGTCTTAGTAACCAATCATGGTAATATTTTTTCCTATTTTAGAATCAACATTCCATTCCCATGTGAATGTATTGGAGGTGAGTTTTTAGGACATGTGTTTGAATACACAACAAAGAAAGGAGATACTTACGATTTGATTACAAATAATTATTATGTAAGTTTGACTAGTTTTGAGCTTTTGAAAAAGTTCAATAGTTATGATCCAAATCATATACCTGCTAAGGCTAAGGTTAATGTCACTGTCAATTGTTCTTGTGGGAATAGCCAGATTTCAAAAGACTATGGATTGTTTGTTACTTATCCGTTAAGGTCTATGGATACTCTTGAGAAGATTGCGAACGAGTCTAAACTAGATGAAGGGTTGATACAGAATTTCAATCCTAATGTTAATTTCAGTAGAGGAAGTGGGATAGTGTTCATTCCAGGAAGAGGTGTGTATTTTGTTTTTATTCTTCTTCTAAGTATCTGTAATGGCTTTTATTAAAGTCTTATTTATTTTTAACTTTTGCAGATAAAAATGGAGAATATGTTCCTTTGTATCCTAGGTAGGCAACTTTGATTATCTCACTTCTCAAGTTGAGTTCTTCATAGAAAAAGTAAATTTGCTTCATATTTGTTTCTAACTTTTATTTTTTTTCCCTCTTGCAGAACAGGTTTTGCTAAGGGTGCAGCTGTTGGTATATGGATAGCAGGAGTATTCGGGCTTCTATTATTTGTTATTTGTATATATGTCAAATACTTCCAGAAAAAGGAAGAAGAGAAAACTATACTGCCCCAAATTTCTAAGGTGCTTTCAACTCAAGATGGTAATGATAGTTTTTGTGAAAGTAACTTATGATACTGTTAAAAGTTAGTATTTATTTATTTCAATAAGTTTTCTGCGATAACTTGTGAAAACAACTTTCTGTTCTTGGTGAAGCCTCGGGTAGTGGAGAATATGAAACTTCAGGATCTAGTGGGTATGGTACTGGTAGTGCTGTTGGGCTTACAGGAATTATGGTGGCAAAGTCAACAGAGTTTTCATATCAAGAACTAGCTAAGGCTATAAATAACTTTAGTTTGGATAATAAAATTGGTCAAGGTGGATTCGGAGCTGTCTATTATGCCGAACTCTGAGGCGAGGTATGAAACTGCAGTGACTAATTTTTATTTTTTGTTAGTGTTTGATATCTTATCCTCTTATTCAAATTATTCTATGCAGAAAACAGCAATTAAGAAAATGAATGTACAAGCATCAACAAAATTTCTTTGTGAGTTGAAGGTCTTAACACATGTTCATCATTTGAATTTGGTATAACATCCTTCAAACTACTTAATTCAATGTTTTTCATTGTTAAAATCTTTGTTAAGCTTTTTGCATAAACAGGTTAAATTTATGTTATGAACCATGTTCTGAATTTACCTAAATTTTTATGAACAACATAGGTGAGGTTGATTGGATATTGTGTTGAGGGATCGCTTTTCCTTGTATACGAACATATTGACAATGGAAACTTGGGTCAATATTTGCATGGTTTAGGTAAGATCAACAAGAAAAGTGCTTATATTTTTCTGTAATCTTACAATATTGTCAAATAGTTATCAATGACAGTGACATCATTCCAGGTAAAGAGCCATTACCTGCAAGAGTCCTTGAATACATTCATGAACACACTGTGCCAGTTTATATCCATCGCGATGTAAAATCAGCAAACATATTGGTAGACAAAAACTTGCGGGGAAAGGTAGCATTATAACCAATCTAAACGATCTTCTTTTCAAAATTTTCTTTATTTGTTAAGATTAATTAAACTATGAGTGGCTTAAACTCAGGTTGCAGATTTTGGCTTGACCAAACTTATTGAAGTTGGAAACTCCACACTTCACACTCGTCTTGTTGAACTACATCTTACAAACAAACAAACATCTTACAGACAACAATTCTAACAAACAAACATCATCTTACAACATGATTCATCACTTTTTTTAGGGTTAATTTCCAAACAACAATTCTAACAAACAAACATCATCTTACAGCGACGTTATTGATGAAGAAGATAATTTCAAACCTCTGAGGAGAAGAAGAACACTTACTTGGATTGAAAAAATGAATTAGCCATGGGCCGAAGATTCGAAGGTGATGCAACGGAGGAGGCTGCTGGTGTTGGTGATTGTGCCGTTGATGCGAGGCGGAGGGTAATGGTTAGAGGACGACGAAGGGATGAAGGATGGAGACGGTTGACAATTGATGGTGGTGGTTGGTAACGATGAAGATGAAGCAGTTGAGAGGAGGGTTTGAGAGATGACGGAACAAAGGGAGTAATAGAGAAGAAGATGAACAACGATTTGTGTTTCTGGAAATCTGATTTAGGGGTTAGGGGTTTAGAAATAAATTAACAAACCAAAGGCAGCGCTTTCAAGAAGCGCTGCTAAAGGTACCCCCCTTTAGCAGCGCTTTAGGCTTACCCCCCTTTAGCAACGCTTTTAGACTTACACCTTTAGCAGCGCTTTTTGAAAGCGTTGTCTAAAGCATACCCTTTAGCAGCGCTTTTATTAATTTTTTAATTTTAATTTTTTTTAAAACCCTATAATAGCGCTTAGGGAGAAAAAGCGCTGCCTTTGATAAGGCCTATAGCAGCGCTTTTAGTAAGCGTTGTCTAAAGTATTTTTTTTTAGATACCTACAGCAGCGCTTTTGCATAAGCGTTGTCTATGTAGCGGTGCCAAAACTCGTTTTTGGCGTAGTGGTATGTTATATCAGTGTATCCTTATTTAATAATCTTTGGTCTAAATTTTGAGATTTTCCATTATTTAATAACCCTTAGATATGAATGTGCGAGACATGCGCATTCTTGCACCATTCAATTGAAGAGTGATTAAATAGGGGTAACTGTCATACCCCAAATTTGTCCGCCCTTTATTTCTACGGTCAAAAATATTTTCAACATTGGTTTTATCATATTCTTTAATTTTTATAAATATTCGCTTCCAAACCTATTTAAAAATATAATAATTTATTTCAGATCATTTTTATTTTTGAATAAACAAATATTTGCTCGTCTTCATGTACTTTCAATTGGCCTTTTATTTCGAATAAGTAATATAACACAATTGATAAGGAATAAAGTTTGCAAGTATGAGGTCGTGAGTTTGAATCTCTTGTGTTTCACTTTTAACATTTTTCCTATTTCTTTGATTACTCTTTTTTTTTAATTTTTAAAATCATAAAATTCATGTTTTTATTATTTAAATATTATTTTTGTTTTTCTATTTTAGACAATTTTTAATAATAATATTTAATTTATTTTATATATTTTTCATCAAAAAGTGTCTAGAAAATACTAAAAAAAAATCAAATCTTTTTCACTTGTTCCTTATTGGTCGTTATGCATCATTCTAACATCTGATTGGCTAGCTTTTAGACCAAGATAACTTTAGATTTTTTATTATTTGTATAATTTCCTTATTTGGATATTTGACTTAATTTTCTCACTTATAAATAGCCCTCAAGTTTACACTTGAAGATCATCTACAAACTTGTTATCTTTCTTTCAAGCTCTTATAATTCTTTTTTTTTTGTTTATTCTAGAGTTGTCGACTTTAATAGACAACAGCCTAAGAACAATCTCTCACAACTTGCAATTTTTTACACACACTATTTTTCAACCTTTTTTTTCAAACCTTTTTTTATTTTTTCAAATTTCTTTTGTAAATATGAGACCCCTGATATTTTCAACTCCTTTTTAATTTTAATTTGTTGTTGTTTCGACCAAGTGATGAGTATCTGATGGTTTCTTGTGTTAATTTATATTTTTCCATTACAATCAACCATCCTATCCCTATTCAAATTTGCGCTTCACCATCAGGGAGGACACAAATATTTTCCTCATATTGTACGTGACTCATACCGGTGTAGATACACTCTTACACCATAAAATCCTGCTTTTTGTATAGAATATACCAACATACTTTATACTCAGCATACATGTGTGCATATTTTTTCTAATACTCACATACCATTTATCTTTTTTTTAACTTGAATCAAATAACCTCTTCTCCTAACTATTTTAATAATTACTCTGCTACATATGGCACAGAAGTTGTTTCCAAGTTTCAGATTATTATGCAGCATTAGGAAATCAAGAGTAAAATTTTTTTTGAAGAGATCGAACTGGATGCACGCCTCCGAAGAGACAACCCGAATCCACTCTGCTCCGACCCATAACCACTCTGAGCCCCACCACCGCCACCACCGTGGAATTTCCGCATCTTTTTTGTGTCACATGTATTTCCACTTTTTTTGCTATTCTTATATGCCTGTAGTGTTTCTTTGATGATGTTGGTTAAAGAAAATTGTAAAAGAGGTTTTAATGAGTATTACTGCAAGTTGTTTTGCAAAATAATGGAGAAGAAAGTAAGTTAACAATGAGAGAGATAATGGATTTCTTTTGTGTTGTCATCTCTTTATCATATGTATTTGGATTTTGAATTTTTGTTTTTATTTTTCTTGAAAAGCCAAATTTTGATCCATGTTTCATTGATTCTTGTTTTTTATGATGGATAGTAACAATGCACCTCCCATGTGCATATTATATCTTTCCTTTTTCCTTTTTTTATTATGTATTTTATTTTCAATATTTTATTAGGTCGTTATATTTAAAATCGTTGGGCTTTGAATCATTGGGTCATGCTAGTGTAAATTCTAACTCACAACTCCACTCTAATTTAGCACCTCTTTTGGCCTTTTAAAATAGTTTAGCAATTTAGCTTGATTGTCTTGGTTATTTTAGTTAATTTTCTGTTAATAAATTAACTTATCTTAGTTTTCTAAGGTAAATAATAAAAACTACGAAAAATATGCTTTAATTTTTTTTTAAGAAATGCTTAATCTGTTATTTAATCAAAAATTAATTTAACATTTTACAAAGATATTAAAAATCACGTAATTCACCAATGAGCGACATGTGATCAATAATCACTTTTGGATGGTATCTTTTAATTCCATCTCCAACAACTATCCATCATTTCTCCAAATGACAAATCTGTCAACCCTGCTATCCAGGATTTCATCTTGAAGTAACCCTACTATCCAGGTTCCTTCTCCCTTATCTTCAGACAACAGTTTACAACACTGAAAGGTCCAGACCCGACCAAATACGGTCAGTTTCACATGTCCCCAGTAAGTCGCTGTACAACCTAGACCCTAACTAGGTATACATTATACTTTCACTCCCTCAATCAAGAGTTAATTCTCCAGTAGAGTAATGGACAACCGAAGCTCCTAGATCTTACCTCCCAGAACATAAATCTACATTCCTCAGCAAAGTCCTCCTCAACAGCAGTTACAGGAACTCTCATCCAGGAATCTCTTATGCAACCAATCTTTTCCGGATGGCATCTTTAAGCCCAACTCCTGTGATTTCCCGTCGCCTTCCAAATGGCATCTGTAAGCCCATTCCCGACATCACCAATCAGTATTACTTCATGTTGGTGTAAATTTTTGGGTACTCTAGTGTTCAATAATCTTCCGCCTTCAGACCACGAAAGGCAGATCAGTCAATCTACATCCTCAGGCTTAAGAAGATTGAACAGGGGTAACTGTTGTACCCCAAAATTTTCCCTCTCATTTCTCAAAGGATCAACCTGGACCCTCAGGTTTGCTTCCATCCAGTTTCAAGTCTTGAATTACAACTTTTCAAGGAAATCATTCACAAGGGCAAAATGGTCAAAAACACACTGAAAAGCTAAACTTTGACTTTTAGATCCAAATCAAGTTTCAATAATTATATTTCATCAAAACATGAAATTGATTCATCAAAAAATCATAAGTCAGAAGTTACTTTGAAAAAAAAATCCAATTTTCTAAGTACTTCAGAACTTCTGAGTCAGCCTATATGCAAGTGCAATCAGAAGTTGCAAACACGGTCCAGAACATGACGCTTCAATCAGAACATGCAGAAGCGTTGTTCTTTGGTCAGAACATGATGCTTCAGTCAGAACATGATTCTTCAGCATATGAAGGCTATGTTCAACGCTCCGGTCAGAATATTGATTCTTCAGCATATGAAGGCTATGTTCAACGTACCTTCAGAACATGCTGGAGCAAAAAGATAGAAAGATCAGAAGTTGGATGTTCAT